AATTATCTCTGTCTGTCCCCAAAACAAGTCTTATCTGAATCTGGTGCCCTTGAGCCTGTGAGGCTGAAGTGATTACTCCCCCTCAGAAGAAATGTGGAATGCTGCCGTCGCCATGACAAGTGTCTCCCTATCCCAGCCTGGGCGGCACTGCGAGCTGTGAAGGCCGCTGAATCATTCCAGGAATCACTGTGCTCTGTAAACCCAACGACCTCCTCCCCTGTCCAGACTGAGGTGAAGAGCGCTGCTTATCGTGGCTGCAGGCACTGACGTGTGGAGAGTCCCAAACCCACCACCCCACCTAGTGGACACTTATGTTGTGTGATGTCTGAAGTCTGTTGCATTTCTGTCTGAGGTGTTTTTTTGCAGAGCAAAGCTGCCCTCCACCTGACTCAATCCTCATGTAAACCACTCTGATCTCTATTAAGGTAGCGCGACTCAGGGTTGCGAATGACCACAGTCACCAATTCTTGTCATGTGTCTATGCCTATGCATGTCTGATCTCAGAATTGTGTGTACTGAAACTCTTAATTTCCCTCTGGGATTAATAAAGTATCTTTGAATTGAATTGAATTTTCTTTGTGGGTCCGACTCCTGAGAAGGACGACTTTCACCCAACCAACTTACCTCCGATCCGTCTGAGTCTGAGCAGCCAGACTGGCATTTCAAACGAGAAAAGAACAGAAAATAAGAGAAAATAATAAACCAATAAAAGAATATCTCATAAAAATATGCTAAATCTAATTCTCACCTTGGAATCATCGGACTGAAGGTGGCCGAAATGAAAAACCCAAAGATGAACAAATAAATAAATGAAACAATCAGGAAGCTCATTTCTAGTTGTGCTTTAACGTTTACCCACCGCGTCGTCCTCCACCTCGTCGCCGGAGACCGCCTGACTCAAAAACATCAAACAAAAAAAAAAAAAAACATGAAAAGAAAGTAAATTAATAAAAAGATAAAAGCTCTGCTGAGATTTAATAAAACAATCTGAAATTATACAGATTATTTTTATTTGTGGCAGAGAGAAGCTTCTCTTTATTTCAGGTCTTCAGACTTTATAAAACTTGGTTTATCTTCATGTTTTAAATCTGAAAAGTCACTTTAATCTCATAAACTTTATTAATCCCAACGAGAAAGCAGCAGTTTTTATTCTAACTCATGAGGAACAAAGACCACTTTTATTAGTGATTTTGGCTTTAAAGCAGCAGAAACTTTATTTTTAAATAAAGAATTTGATTCATTTTTAATTACAAGACAAGGCTTAAATCTGGGATTAAGTTAGGAATCAGATGGGACTTCTACTTGTTTATTTTTAGTTTATGAATCTGTTATTTAATCAAATCAAAGAGATTTCATCCTGAAAAACCTGATAAATAAACAACATCGGTAGATTTCATAAATATAATAAACAGAAATGTGCAGCGAGCTTCAGCTGTTTTACCCAAAATAAATCAGGATGATCGGTTTCTAAATAATTACATGGAAAAATAAAAATATGTTTAAATGCCATAAACAAACCTTTGCGTGTTACAATTATATATTTCACAGAAATGAAGATGCATTTATTAAAGAGACTTTACAAAGTTTTGAAATTTTCTGCTCATGATTGCCCCCTCAGGCCAAAAGCGTAACGGCAGCTTCAATAGTAGGCTCGTGCACGAGGTGCGCATGCTGTACGTGCACACTCCTTAAAGAAAATAACAGCTGAGACAGCCCCGTGTGTGTGTGTGTGTGTGTGTGTGTGTGTGTGTGTGTGTGTGTGTGTGTGTGTGTGTGTGTGTGTGTGTGTGTGTGTGTGTGAGTGTGTGTGTGTGTGTGTGTGTGTGTGGCCCGGAGGACAGAGGGCAGGAGGACGCGCAGCTAATTAATTAAATAATTTGGTTCTGTACCTTTCTCTTCAGCACAGCCACAAAGGTTTAAGATGGGTCAGTCCTCCTGCATGCTCAGATCGTTCCCTTCCCTTGCTTGAAAAATTGTTCCAAAATGAAAGTTGAACCCACATCTTTTTTATCTGTGAATTCAATGCCGTTCGGCGAGTCTCAAATAAAAATTTGGGCATCTTACTGTAAAAAAATATACCATTAATGTAAAAAAGAAACTCTGAATAAACGATGTTCACACCCAGAATCAAACCCAGGATTTCTGCACAAGAATCCGACGTCTTACTAGGTGAGCTACACTCTAGTAACATTCACAGTATCTAACATTTATATCCTTGATGACAGCTGAAACAACGTCAAACCAAAGAACGGTTCGGAGTGAAAATGGCTATTTTGTTGCTAATTAGCAGGAAATATCTAGAAGAAAGTTCTACAGAAAGTAGCTAAGGGTCCTCAGAAATGTAGCTAGCTTTGTCACTAGGCGTTAGGAACAGCGACAAAGCGGCACTGCCTCTCTCTCTGCTGCTAAAGCTACGGATAGCAAATGCTACGGGCGATGCCTGAGCGTGAACGCGCATGAAGCAGCCTGCTCGACCCGAGCATCTCTCTTTTTCTGTGATTTTACAGAAAAACAGGCAATCACAGTAAAAATGCCAGGGCTCATTCTACAGGACCAGGGCATTGCAGGAGAATGTATGAAGAAGACATTTATTATTTCTATACATGTTTTGGCTGTCACACTTCCATAATGCCTCTTTAAACGTTTTGAATGAAAGTTGAGGTTCTCATTTTTTTCTCTCCATCTGAGTTTAGAGACAAAGTGACCCACCTCCTCCTCATCGGGTTCTTCCTCGTTCTCAAGCTTTCAGGAGAAAAAATAACGTTAAAAAGACCCAGACTCATTATTAATGAGAGGAGAGTGGATGTCTAAACAGGAGGAAAGGGTTCATCTGCAGACAAACAACAGGAAGGAGTGAAATAATCCCAGACGTACCCGCTGCTCCTCAGCTGTGAGCTGCACAAAAACACACTCAGATGAGATAATCGTTCTGCGTTGGCTCTACTTTGGTATTTGGCTTGTTTACAAGCTTTTTGTCTTGAATAAATAACCAATTTGCTTTCTTTCCAGAGAATTTCACATCAAACTTTTAAAACCGTGAATGTAAAGGAAGCAGGACCACTCTGAGTCCCTTTTCCCTCAGAATTTCATTTAGAAACGATGTCGTCATGTGGAATAAAACATATGTTTGATTAGTTAAAGAACTTTAATCCCAGATTAATTTGTAAATAAATCCTCTAAAAGTTAAACTCCTGCAGCAACTTTTGCGTTAGTAACCGTGGTGCAGATGGAAGTGTGTTGGTGTAAAACGTGAACGGTAATCCAGGTTATGCAGCTTTAGTCACAGACGGAACAAATGACCTCCTAACTCACCTGCTTTGCTCCCATGGATTCAAACATCCTCTCCAAAAGGACCCTCATCTGCTGGATGTTGTTCATCAGGACACACGGCTGCAGGGACGTTTGGGAAAGTTGGAGAATCAACGAAAACTCCATTTGGAAAAACACCCTATAGGGTTGGCACTCACGGTCTTCTCCTTCTCGCAGTAGGACGGGAAGCTCCTGGTCAGGATGGTGCAGTACAGCAGCAGCACCTTGGTGATGGTCTGTGGAAACGAGACGCGGGTTCAGGGAACCGTCAACACGAGACGTACGAGCAGGCTGCTTCTGATAAAGCCAACTCAGCGTGCATCATTCCCATGCTTTTTATTCTCTACCATCAGCATCAGTCAGAACAGCTCAGAAACATCTGGTTCAGAGGGCTTCAAAGCGTCGTGCATCAGGTTAAAGAGTCAAACATCACCTTTACCCGCGCAGACTCTCATCCTGCAGGAACGAGATCTAAACACAAACTTCTGATCAAGTAGTCTAATGAGCTTTGAAAGAAAAGCGTCTGGACTTCTTTGAGTTGCTTGAAGACGTTTCACCTCTCATCCGAGAGGCTTCTTCAGTTCTAAGGTCAAATGGTGGAGAGTCCATGATTTAAACCCAGTGGGAGTTCCCCCCCCGAAGAGGGAACAAAAGACCCCCTGATGATCTTCTACATAAACACATGAGCCCAGGTGGGAGGGTGGGTGTGGGTACTATTCAGCCAGAGTTTCGGGTGAGCTCATTGTGAAACCTGGCCCCACCCTATCATGTGAATTCCTGAGGTCAGATGGCCCAGGATATGCGTGGGCGTTGAGGCATCTGGGAAGGGATCTCAAAACTGGATTATAGATGGCAGACAGTTGGTGTCGTAAACCACTGCCTCTGTTCAAAGATGGTTGCTCACAGTGGACATAAATGGCTTCCTTTACTCCTCTTTCAAACCATCTGTCCTCTCTGTCCAAAATGTGAACGTTGGCATCCTCGAAAGAGTGACCTTTGTCCTTTAGATGCAAATGAACTGCTGAGTCCTGTCCCGTGGAGGTGGCTCTTCTATGTTGTGCCATGCGCTTGTGAAGTGGCTGTCTGGTTTCTCCGATGTAGAGGTCTGGGCATTCCTCGCTGCACTGTACAGCATACACCACATTGTTCAGTTTGTGTTTAGGAGTTTTGTCTTTCGGGTGAACCAGTTTCTGTCTGAGTGTGTTGCTGGGCCTGAAGTACACTGGTATGTTGTGTTTGGAGAAAACCCTCCTGAGTTTCTCTGATACACCGGCTACATAGGGGATGACAAGGTTGTTGTGTCTGTCTTTCTTTTCCTCCCTCGCTGGTGTCTGGTCTTCTTTTCTGTGCATCTTTGTTGACTTTATAAACTCTGATCAAGTAAAAACAATTAGAAGTTTTAGATCCCAGAAAGGCTCCGCCTTCTTCCAGAGAGTGCTGCATTCCAGGTAAACAGGAAAAGTAAATGTCACTTAATGCCTCTAAAACGGATCCCTAATGGATTCATCAATAATCCCAGTTTTTTAAAAGCAAACGAAGGAACTCGGTAGTTTTGGGTCTTTTATTCAAAGTCGGCACGTTTTTGACTCCAGCTCTGCTCCAGGATCCGTCGTTAGTTGCATCCTGTTTTAATATTCCATCCTCTGAACCACCGGCTCCTCAGCAGGGAGCCGGTGTCTCACTCCGTCAGT